TGATGCATTAAATGGATGTATTAAACAGTTGCCATATGAGATACTAACAAAAGTGAATTCCTTCATAGAATAGGAGGTTGGGCTAAACGGGTCTTCTAACTGTTATGATCTTATGAACTTTCATAATCCTATGTCAGGATTAAATTATATTCTTGATTTGGGTTGCTTGCTTGCTTGCTTTTTATGCCCAATTCTACACTCTCAGTGGAGAAAACAAATACATTTGAACACAATAGTGATTTTCTAATTACATTGGTAATCTTTTGGTAAAAAAAAAACATATAAACACTCAAAATCCAAAACGTAAAAAGCAAATTCTAGCTTGCTTGCCAATTTAGACCATAATAGCTCTCTGCTTTGGGTCATTAAGTAACATCCATCAATTAGGATGCATTAAAATAAGGTGCTGTTTAAGCTTTTAATCTTATAGTTTGATTTATTCACATGCTGTTGTTTTTTTCAGGGTTTTATATTCCAACCAGTTTTGACTGGATTATATCAAACAATAAATACAGGTAGTCCTCGACTTACAACAATTCATTTAGTGACCGTTCTAAGTTACAATGGCACTGAAAAAGTCACTTATGACCATTATTAACACTTATGAACACTGTAGCATCCCCGTGTCACATGATTTACATGCGGATGCTTGACAACTGACTCACATTTATGACAATTGCAGTGTCCCAGGGTCATGTGATCTCCTTTTGAGCCCTTCTGACGAGCAAAGTCATTGGGGAAACCAGATTCCCTTAACAGCCATGTTATTAATTGAAGAACTGCAATGATTCACTTAATAAATGTGGGAAGATAAGTCATAAAATGAGGCAAAACTCACTTAACAAATTTCTCAGTTAATAACATAAATTGTAGCTGTAAGTTGAGGACTACCTGTACACGGTCTTTAAAGATGATCTCCTACTCAGTGACTTGCAATAATCCAGCTGTGAGGTGACAGGGTAGGAATTAACTACTGTACACAAAGCTCTCTGATCCAGGAATGGGTGCAATTGGCATCCCACCTGTAATTTACAAGAAGCAGAAATTGTGAGTCCAATAGGACCCCACAAATTGCAAGCTTGGGTAGCACAACTCCATCCAAAGCTGAAGATGATTATTCAGGGAGTTTAGTTGGCTTTTGAATCTACACAACTTTGCCAAGGCTCAGTCTGTCCCAATGTCCCATAGCCAATGTGATGACCCAGGGCATGCCACAAAGGCAATACAGTCAGTTAATCAATAAGAATCCCTTTATTAACTCCAACTTTGCCCCTAATGTCCTGGTTACCTTCTGGCTGGAGAAAAACTCTCCCAGGAACAGCCTTTGACTGCAGAGAATCAAGTCCAAAATGTGGTCAACAAAAACTATAAGTCCAATCAAGGCAAAATGAGGTATTTAATCTGACAGGGCAGGAGCAAGAATTCCAGACATGAAGGCAGGACAATAACTCCACATGCCCGCAACACAGATAAGCAAAGTCAACACAAGATAAACTCACGTTTGCTCCCAGCAGCTGCCGCACTCAGCATACATTTCTTTTAAACTCTCTTCCCAGATGTGGCTAATGAAGGGAATCAGGGCCCTTTCCTCCCCCATAAGCCACGCAACCCATGTTGCTCTCTTCTCCATTCCTCCCTGCGTGCCCTAGGATGAAGAGGGGGTGGGTCTGGGTCTTTCTCTGAATTCCCTCTCTCTTGTTCTACCTCTCCCCTGCTTTGCTCTGCCCAGCCAGACTTTGCCCTTCCCCAGTTTCCTCCACAGCCAACAGAGCTAGACTCCCACTCCCTGTCAGCTGCTTGTCTTCCTACTCGGATTCAGACTCTGACGGGGGCATGACAGCCAGTGTTCCAATTTGGATTGGTTTGATTTAAAGTCAAAGCAAAACTTATTCCCATCTCAATTATGAGACATAGGCGTATGCACTGCATCTGCACAAATCACCTCAGATATGAAAAGATGAATAAACACGGGATTTTATTTAAACACGTGAATGTGGCTCTCTTGTCTTCATTGCCATACCAAACTGCAAAATAACGATCACCCTAGAATGAATAAGATGATGCAGTGGTTAGAATGCAGAATTGCAGGCTAACTCTGCCATCTGCCAGGAGTTCAATCCTGACCAACTCAAGGTTGACTCAGCCTTCCAATCCTTTTGAGGTCGGTAAAATGAGGAGCCAGTTTGTTGGGGGCAATATGTAAACCGCTTAGAGAATGCTGCAAAGACAGTGGTATATAATTCTAAATGCTATCGCTATAAGGAAGCCTATAATAATAAGGGAGACTTTGTAAATCCACTGAACACCCAGCCTCATTATGAAAAAACTAGACTTGTTGAGAAAAAAAGACATTAACAATTTTAAAAAGGAGAAGATGCTACTTCTTTAGAAAAAGACAACGAGGCAACAACTAAAGCAACTGACAATATTGATGACAGATACTTTTTATAGTGAATGGATGTGAAGGAATGAGACATAAAACTGGATGTTCTATCAGTGACTGAACAGTGATGTAAACTCATGGAAGAAAAGCAATTAGAATCACGTTAATGCAATTGTAAGAACTCACACTGTGACGGTAGAAAGGATCTACTTTTGTAGGGTATTTGTCAAACTGTAAAGGGATTGAAATACAAACTCATTACATTACATCTGGTCGGGAGGGGAGAGGATAACACACTTTTTTTTTCATTTTGTGAAGTTTTGATTTTTTTAAAAAAATGTTCCTATTAGTTTTTATACATATTTCATAGTTATTGATGAGGGTTAGAAGGATAATAAACTCAAGATGGTAGCCACAACCACAGTATCAAAGACCCACCTTTTAAAATGTGTATTTCATGAAGCACATTAAAAAAAAAAAAAAGAACAAGGCTTCAATTGCCAGTTGTAGTCACTGTTGTGTGTGTTTTTTTTATGCTTCACACACACACACAAACCCAACCTAAGATGCCTCTCAATATAAACCACAGCAGAAAACTTAAAAAGAACAAAAACAAAACAAGTCCCTGGAAGTTAAGAAAGATCAGGAACTAGCAGTCATAAAGCAAAACAGATCAAGAAAAACACAGGTAGCAAATTTTCAGGTATGAAATAAAACAAGCAAAGATTAGACATTCTGTTGCTCTGGCGCCTTAACCTTTCATCCCTCACTCATCATTTTACAGCATCTTCACTTTTTGCTGGATTTGGTTTATGAAGACAGCAGGTAGGGTTTTTTTAAAATAATAATAATAATAAAAGTAGTGATAATACCAGTAATATTACTGGTTGGTATTCCTCGACTTACAATAGTTCATTTAGTGACGATTCAAAGTTACAACGACCCTGAAAAAAGTGACTTATGATTATTTTCCACATTTCCTGCAGCATCCCCATGGTCACATGATCAAAATTCAGATGCTTGACAACTGACTCAGATTTGTGACGGTTGCAGTGGGGTCCTGGGGTCATGTATACCCCTTTTACAATCTTCTGACAAGCAAAATTAATGGGGAAGCCAGATTCACTGAACAACCATGTTACTAACTTACCAACTGCAGTGATCCACTTAACAACTGTGGCACGAACGGTCACAAAATGAGGCAAAATTCACTTAACAAGTGTTACAATAATAAAATTTTGGGGTTCAATTATGGTCGTAAGTCGAGAACTACCTGTAGCAATAATGGTGAGATTCAAAATTCTACCCATCCTGCTAATATTTACCTCACATTTCTACCTCACATTTCTCAGTCATCTCTGTGATAGTTCCAATTCTGTTAACACTTACCCAAATGGAATTTCTGATCAGAGTGACCAAGATTATTTATATTAATTTAAATTTAATAATCAATCATTTAAATTTAATAATTTATTAAACATGTATGCTGCCCTCTCGACAATAAAATGATAGAGATAGACATAGAGATAGATTAGGTCTAAATATAGAAATACTACAATATTGTAATACTGTAAATAAAGTGAAGCGTAAGAAAGAAGACTGACAATTCACTGTATTCTTTCCCCCAGTGGTTTAGTTTTATTTAAATCTTTATTTAAGGCAATAAAGATAAATAAATAAAATTTATTTATTTATTCCCTTTATTCAAAGACACTGTATGACATCATTGCTAAATTGTCACATTCCCATGTTTTCTGTATTTTTTTTTTTACCAAGTCTGAATTGTGAGATTGCAATAAACATAACAGTGGCCTCAGAGTGGGATATGAAATTGGGGCTTTTACACCTTTAATTAAAAGGTTCTATTAAAATATGATAAATACCTCTATTTTGTTTTAAAAGAAAGGCACTCATTAAAGTCTGCCTCTCACTTACAGCAAATAGAAACAAGGGAAATATTAAGCTGATGAATAAATAGCCAGAAATTTCATGCAGAAAACTTTCAATACACATCAAAAATGGTACTTATTCAATGAGATTTTCCTCATGCTCATTATCAGAGAAGCTAGAAATACATAGGGTATAATTTAGCTATGTGACCAATTGAAACTTCAGCCCTGGAACTAAATTACTGCCGTAAAATATCCAGGCAATTCTGTGGGGCATTTGTTATAGTGTTGCTCTAATTGTCCTTAGATGTGTACTTGTTTTAATGGTTGCACTACTTGAATGTTCAGTTTTCATTCTCTACTCATCACCCAGATCCACAATTGTGAAGTGGGTGGGAATATTAATTATATAACTATTTTTCTTTGCACCTAAGTGTGACTGATGTTTCTCATGATTGCAAAATCAAAAAGTTAAAATTACCTATTAAATTACGAATACCAGATCTGGGATGCCAAATCTATATACATGGGAGTCCCTTTACCCCAAGACCCTTCCCCATTGCAAAGGGGAACTGTCCAGAGGGTCCCAAATGCCTTTCAGTCTTTTCTCCCATGACTCCACAAACATCTTTGCTGTTGTGATTATTATTTGTAGCTGTCACGATATACTTTGCAACAAAAGAAGTCTGCGCGCTACTTATCCTCACATTTCTGCCTGGATTACGCACCATGGGAGGTGCTGGCGTTGGCATGATGGCTGTTGGAGGGATGGCGTGAGGAAAAGGCGTGAAGGTGTGCTGGTGCGTGTGTTGGTGTGTGTGCTGGTGTTGGTGCTGGTGTTGGTGGAACTCGGTCCTCAGGTAGGGTGGTGGGCCCAGAGAGGCGCCACGATCGGCGCTCTGGGAAGCCAGAAACCGAGTGTTCAGCTCCTGGCGGAGAAGATCTTGCTCTGGAAAGGAAGACAACATCATGAAAGTCTCTCCTTTCCTCCTTTAAGACATCTTATGCATCATTCCAATCATCGCCAACTCTGAACAATGTGCATGCCTAATTCTGTAAAGAAGGCTAAAAATAGACATCAGAATCTTTAAAATAACAGCAAAGGAGAAAGCAACTCACAATTGTACACAAAGGAATAGTATGAGAAACCCAAAGTTTATCCCCCTCCAAAACTATTGAAAAGTCAGGTTTTGATGACCTTCATAAAACCTAGTAAGGTTGAGACCATATGGATCTCAGTAGGGATCAGTGGTGCGATTGAACCGATGTAACAACTGGTTTGGTGACTGCGTGCTTTGCACGCATGCACGCCATTTTAAAAAGCCCATTTTCAGCTATAATACTTACCTTCTAATGCAGCCCCAGTGAGTAAAACAGCTGAGGCACGGCAAAACTGCTCTGCCATGAGAATCAGCTGTGCTCCAAAAAAAGGAAATAAAGCAGAGGAAAGAGCAAGGCCAGGTGGGCGGGGCCATATGGTCACCAGAACAACCGGTTCACCTGAACCGGTCTGAACCGGTAGAATCCCACCCCTGGTAGGGATGCTATTTCAAGGTCATCAAAAGACTCCATTTTCTCTGTGTAGGGACCCAAAATAAGGCTCAATCTTATCTTATTGGAAGGGGAAAAACAAGTAACACAGCCAAAACCTATCTTCCTTCCATTGATTTCTCCTTATTGCATAGAGGATAATTTAGATATGTGCAAAGTCAGGGACATCCACGAGAGGTTGATGACATCAGAATGTATGACCCAGGCAATCAAAACCCTGAGTCTTTTTACATGTGTGATATATAGGAAGGGAGGGAGGGAGGAAGGGAAGGAAGAAAGGTGGGAAGGAGGGCATAGAGCAAGGAAGGAAAGGGAAAACATGGAGAGTGGGAGGAAGGAAGGGAGGGAGGGAGGAAGAGTATAGAGCGAGGAAAGAAAGGAAAAACATGAAGGGTGGGATGACTCAAGGTGGCTTACAGGATATAAAACCTCATATAAAAACAATAAAACAAATAAGAGTCATATAATAAATCAATATAATAAAACCACCACCCGCCCCAGCGATAGCACCTCACATGAGCCATTTAATGGGCTCCATCCTGCTCTGGGTTCCCTAGGCCCGCTGGCAGAACCAGGTCTTTAGCGCCTTCCGGACGAGTATTAGAGAGGGGGCCAGAGAATACTCTGAGGGAATGATGTTCCGGAGAGAGGGAGCCACCACGGAGAATGCCCTTCTTCTGGGTCCCACCAGGTGTATCTCCCTGGGGGATGGGACCCGCAACATTCTCTGCCTCCCCGCTCTAATGTGTCGGGTAGATGTGACTGGCAAGACACGGTCCCTCAGATAACCTGAGATACCAATAACTTGATTAAAACGAGCAAAGAAATTAGGATTTGATCTGGCAAGTGATGCTTTCTTCCTTACCTGAGTAAGCAGTGCCAGCGGGATGAGCTGGAACTTGTAATGTCCCCGATGTCAGAGGAGGAGGAGGAGGCAATGCCGTGGGAGGGGCAAACATATTGGGGTGATGGGTGTGATTAGAAGGCTGGAGGGCAGGTGTGAAGTTATGAAGGGGGCTGTGATTGGGTAAAGAGAGAGGGAAGGGGGATGCCGAGGGATGATGAGCTATGGGGGGAGGAGGCGGAGGGGGAGGAGGGGGTTGACTTTTGGCTGGGGTGCTGCTTCTGCTGCTGCTGTTTGTGGGGAAAGAGGCAGAAAGGAAGATGTTAGCAAATGCACAGAAAGGAATTATCCAGTAGGGAAGGGCAGACCCACAAGCCCTCCCACTGCCACACAGAGAGAACAGGTCTTCTTCCCAAAATACAGGTAGTCATCGAATTACAACAGTTTGCTTAGTGACTGTTCAAAGTTAGAACGGCATAGTGTGACTTATGTTTCAGACTTACAACCACTGCAGAAAGGTCATGTGATCAAAATTCAGGCAATTGGCGACTGGCTCGTATTTATGATGGCTGCAGTGTCTTGGGGTCACATAATCACCTTTTGCGACCTTCTGACAAGCAAAGTCAACGGGGAAGCCAGATTCACTGAAGAACTGCGTTACTAATTGAACAACTGCAGTAATTCACTGTGGCGAGAAAGGACGTAAAAAGGGGCAAAACTCACTTAATTTGGGCTCAGTTGTGATCATAAGTCAAGGACTACACATATTCTCCACATCAGATCAGAACCTCCTAATCCAGTGATGGAGAACCTATGACACGCATGTCAAAGATGATATGCCGCAACGTTTTGGGTGATGCGCCAGCATTCACCAATACCTGGCGATAACTATTGTCAAAAGCACGCCGGGTTCTCACACAATTTTCAGAGGCTGTGGAAGGCACATGAGAATGAGGTGTGCTCTCGCACGGCCTCCGGAAATTGGGCAAGAATGGGGCATGATTTTGCAGTTTCTGAAGGTTGCAGAGGCTGTGGAAGAACGTTCTCTGACTTGCTTCAAGGGCGAATGCCTCGTGGGACCCACAACACCCTTGAGTAGGCTACAAGGGCCTGTCAACAGAAGGAAAAGACTGAAATTAATCGCCACACAGCAGATCCTGGGGAGCACTTGGGCTGTGAGGGCAAATTGTGCCGTTATCCAAGGCTCACATGGCACAAAGCAGCCTTTTGTGTGTGGCAGCCATGGCACAAGGGTTGAAATAGAGCTCTGGGCCTCCACTTCAGGCCCTGTCTTGGCACTGCCACTGAGTATCACTGTTCAGAGTGGGCTAGATTGGGGGTAGGGGGAGAAGAGATAGAGATCGTCCTCTTTTGTTTGGGAGGGGGTGCGACACACCAGCAGTGCCAAGTTAGGCATTTTCCAAATTTTTGACACACCAAATCCAAAGGGTCATCATCATTGGCCTAATCTGTTGTCCACGAAATGTAGCCTGAGGTTCCCTCATCCCACCTGTCTGATGGAAAGCGAGATTTAGAGATGATTATATTATTTTTATTTATTAAATTTGTTTGCCGCCCATCTCATCACAAGGTGACTCAGATTATGGCTAGACTTCCCCTTTTTGCTAAAATTATCGTTCCAGCCTGGTTGCCTAACAAACCAACATGTTCCTGCTTGCACAAAACACCAAGCCATGCACCACGTGTTTATAAGCTATAATGGCTAGGTTCAGGTAATAAAGTAAGTTTAGGGACTGATAGACACTTGAGCAGTTTTGAGAGCATGCCATAGCTGTTCTCACAAAATGGCTGCCTTGAGGGATAAGATCAGTCCCTAAACACTCATTTACTAGAATGCCAAATTCAGACCTTCCCCAGCAGGCATTTAGTTTTCTCACCTTATCTGACTTCTTCTTAGGGAAAAGGGCCATAACTTGTAAAGAAAGCACAAGCCATATCCACCTGCCATTTGATTTCTGAAGAACATCTCTTGGGTCAACACGAAACCCAGATATTTTATTGGAAATATATATGGATAAAGGTTGATACTTGTCTGAGCCACGAGTCAATTTCCCCTTTAGTTATTTTTAATTTTTTTTAAAAAAAATCTGAAATTGAGGAGCGCAAGAAATTGATAGAGGTGATGGAAGATGTTGCTACACATCTCTGGGTTTCATTAGCAGAGGCGTGAGGGATCCAGTCTAATTATTTAGTACTTTATTTTCTTGCCTGATTAATAGTCTCTCCCTAACACTTGACACAGCAAGAGCCTTGCTGTACTTTTAGTCCTTTAAATTGCAGACAACAGTACTGGAAACTGGCACCTCTTTCGTTTTTTGTCTAGTCTCGGTTTCCAGGGTTGGCCCAGAGTTTTTGGATTATGGGAGATAATGTTATTTATAATTTGTTGGCTGCCTTCCAACTGTCCCACAGCACTCACCCAAATAAAGAGCCTGGCCCCTTTCCAAGAAATGCTTGGAAAAAAGCCCAGCGTGATCCTCACCTCAAGCTGTTGAGGCTTAAACTGCTGCTGTTGTAAGTCGACAACTGTTGTGCAAGGCTACGGGAGGGAGGACGCAGCTGAGAAGGTGGTAGGTTTGGATGGGCCGGCTGCCCAGGAGAGGGAGGTCTCGGCGGATGTTGTATTTGGGAAGGAGGAACGGTGGGAAACTGGGCCTCTTCCGAAGCTGGTTGCTTCTCTGGGGCTTCCGAATAGGAGGAGCGAGCAGGGTGGACAGCAGCAGGCTCTGGAGAACGTGCCTCCGTTGGTGGCTCCAAACGAGGTGGGACCAAAGGCTGAGAAACTTGAGGACAAAGATCCTGAGGCACAACAGGGTCAAGCGATGGCTCTTTTCCACCGTCCTGACTCTTCTCTTGGCTCCGTTCTAATCCTGATATTTTGGGGAGAGCCAAAGACCTGGCCTCTTGATCTTCATTTTCTGTTAGCGTAACAACTCCTAAGTCTGTATCTAGAAACAAAAACATCAAACACATTTTTAAAAAGATGGTTGGTACAATAAGGCAAACTACACATACTCTGAAGCCTCACTTTAGCATGTTAGGTGAACAAACTAGAGTCTGACTGTGTTGAATTTATATTTACTGACAAAGAAATAAAGGGAGACTAGTATAGATTTGTTGCGAAAGTGATTGCCTACGAAGGCTCCTGGATTGGGGCTGAAAGGCGAAAGTAGAAACAGTATGCTCTGTCCCATATTTGGGTAGACCAGGTTGCTCTGATATCTATCTATATCTATCTAAATCTATATATCTATATCTATCCATCCATCCACTGGTCTGTCTGTCTGTCTGTCTGTCTGTCTGTCTGTCTGTCTGTCTGTCTGTCTATCTATCTATCTATCTATCTATCTATCTATCTATCTATCTATCT